TTCCTTATATAGTAAGGACAATGTCATCATCAATTTTAAAATGCACTATTTTATGGAAATTAGGATATTTAGAATTATTACTGCTTATAAATCATAATCGCATTTTTACTAAATTAATCATAGAAAGTAATAATTTCGCTTGTTTTACAATATCCTGACACTTTAATAACTTTATCTTTTTTAATTGGTATTTAGTCACAATTATCATCGAAAAATGGAGTCTGATAAAAAGCAAAATATTCATTACTGTATATTATTTTTTAAATTTTATCAATTTCAATAGAAATAGAATTTCTTATATAGTAATCTGATATAGAAATAGGTTTTGGATTAGGCATTTCGTATTTACTATTGCTTTGTAAATTCTCAATGTCAATTAAGTCTATTACTTAGTAATTATGTTACATACGGTTTATTAAAAATAATTTTGGACGACCTAATATTGTTTCAATTATATAGTTATTATCGTATATTTTATGGATCATTCCATCTAGAATTATTTACTTTATTATATAACCATCGTCATTTAATTTACAATAATAGAAATATTAGTCATTATTTTCCAAAATTGGTTTTATTATTATGGCAGAATATTCTTCAATGTCAAACCAATCGTAATTTATTTTTAGTGGATATGTAAATGTAAATGCATTTATTTTTTAGATAACAAAAATTAATAAAATTAATCGCATTAATTATTTATTACTCCTCATTCGTTGTTTTTTATTATTTATTTTTAATTTTTTTATTTAATTTTTTTATTTGATTAGAATTTGATTTTCTTAAGATATCAATCATTAAAAATCATAAATATAATTTTATTTAATTACATTTATTATTTTAATCAATATATTATTTACCTTATATAATTGAATAAAAATTTCTATATTATAAATCAGGTTTTATAATAAATTAATATAAATAAAATTAGTTTTTTAAATTTATAGTCTAATTTATCTATAAAGTATTAAATTATAAAGTAATTTTAATATTTATTATTATATATTTAATTTTACTGCATATTTTTTATTATAAAACAAATAAATAAATGATGGATAATTATAAAATTTATATAAAGACTTAAATTTTGTTTTCAGTATTTGAAATTTATAATTTTTTGTAATATAATTAAAGTTTATTAAAAATATATATTTTAAAAATTAAATTTTAATTCAAATTATTTTTTATAATTATATTAATTTTTAAATTATAAATAGTTTTAATAATGTAGAATCAAATTATATTTTTTTAATCATAAAATTCTTAAATATAAATCTTTTTATTAAAATAAAATATATTTCAAAATAACATTGTATATGATATTTTTATTTAAATTAATTTCAATTAAAAAACTAGATTAATTATTATTAAATAAATGAATAACTTTTTTTAATAATAAAAATAGATTATTTATTTGACAATTCCAAAGATAATTTTAATATTGATTATTTAAGCAAATCTTACTAATAATTATATATTGGAATAACTAATGATAAATAATGAACTATACTTTCTTTTGTTAATTTGCTAATAAATAAATTTAACAAACAATAAAAAGTTATATAGTTAACCCATAACATTAATACAATCATGATTAATCTTAATTTATGTGATACTAAGCCAATAAAAGCATAAAGATTTACATAAAACGTAACAAATAAAATTTTTATTAGATTTTTTTGAAAAAAAAATTTAGAAATATATATAATCTAAGATATATAGTCAAAAATATAAAAAATTAATTAAAATTATTTAAAATATATAATAATTAATTATATGCAAAAAAACACTCAACAAAAAATAATAATATATTTATATTTAATTTAAAAAATTAATAAATAATATGTAAAATTAATTTTTTTAATAAAATGTAAAAAAGATATAAATTAATATAAATATAAATATATTTAAAATAATAAAAAATAAATAAAAAAAATATACAATATTTATTATTATTTTTATTAATAATATAAAACAATATAATGATATATATAATGTTTAATATAATTATATTTTAAAATAATAATTAATATTAAATTTACTAATTACTATTTATTTATTTAAACTATTTTTATTTTTAATTTTTATAATTAATTAACTTTAAATGAAAATTAGATTAATAATTTTTTTAATTATATTAATTATTAAATTATTAGTTTTTATTTTATTTATAAATTTGTATTTAATATACTATAAAAGAATATATTTTATTTTAATTATTTTTATTTAATTAATATAAATATATTTCTATTATATTTAATTCTTTTATTAATATATTTTATTCTAATTTTAATTTTAATTTTCCTCTTTTAATAAAATTATATAAATTAAAAAATATATAAATATAATCTTTTAATTAATAAAATTTTATTTTTTATTATCCTAATTTAATAAATTATCTTAGAATAAATAATAAATAATTCCATAATAAATATTTAATTAAATCAGTCTGACAATAAAAAACAAATTAATATTACAATTCTATATTTAAAGAACTTCCAGAATGTTCTCAAGTTCTCCAACCTACTAATATAAATATTTTCTTTTATTAAAATTAATCGAAAATCATAGCAAAATGGCATTATTAAATATACATATAGAAGATATATGACATTTTGATATAAGAATATTTTTATAAAATAAGAAGTATATGGAAATAATTAGGCTTATGGATATAATATACATAAACCAGAATAATGGAATAAAACACTAAAAGTGGAAAACTTAATAGAAATAATGGGAAGATCTTTTGTTTTTCTCGAGTTTAACAGGAGATACAGTTAGTGGTTTAAGTTCATATATAATTTAAGAAATAGACTAGAAAATTCCAAAAATAAGCTTTTGTATAGCCTCTCGCCCCTCATATAGACGGCGAAGTAATTTTATAAAGTTATAATTGCATATTGGCAATATCCAGCTTAAATGAAAATTCAGATGTGTTGATATTAATATAAAATCATGATATATAGGAAATATGTACTTAATTATTAAATATATAAAATCCTTATTTAATTAAATGAATATATTTTTACCAATTGTTTAGAAAAAAGTTTTTTCTAATTTGCAAAATTTATATATTTCTTGAAGAAATTTATGTAATTAAAGCTTTAAATAATGTGTTTAAAAAATACATCTTACTTTCCAGAATATTCAAGATCTTTTAAAAATGATTAATGGTGGTAAGCACTTCAAAACGAATTTAAGTCGTTATTGAGAACTAAGCTTTAATTTGAATAAAAATGTCAAACTAATTTTTAATTTATTATATTTAGGGTTAAAATGCTGAAAAATAAAATTTTTAAGCTTGTGAGAAAGATTAGGACTTTAAAGAAATGATTAAATTTAAATGCCTTAAATATAGTTATAAATTTAGCAAATAAAAAAAAATGTGTTTGATAAGTAATTCATAAAGTTTTTTATAGAGATATAAAGGTAATAAAACAAAAATGCATTAGCTTATTTATATTAATTTAATAATTTGGAATAAATAAACATTTGATTTTTAAAATTTTACAGATTTAATAAAATTATAAATAATATATTTGATAAATAAATATATAACGAAAAAATTTAAATATATATATAAGATTATAAATTTTTAAAAATAAATATAAATATAAATAAATATAAAATATTATATTAATATAATATATATTTAATATTTTTATTTTATCATAAATTTAATTTATAAACATTTTATTTTTTTTCAATTTGTAATATTGTTTTTTATTATTATTTATTATTTATTATCAGTTTTTTTTTATAAATTTTTTTTTTATGTAATTTTTTTTATTTTTTTTATATATATTATAAAAAAATATAAATTAACTTAATATATATAAAATCATAATATTAGATATACATATTATATTTATCATAGGATTATTATTTATATATAAATATTTTTAATATATTATCAATTATTTATTAATTATAACAATAAATATTAAATAATGAATATGTTATATATAATTTTTTATTTAACAAATTATATTTAAACTAAATTATAATATAATTTTTAAAATACTTTATTTAATCCATAATTTATTTTACGCTTGAAAAATAATTTAAAATATAAAAAAATATTTTAATCAAATTAAATTTATTAAATAAAAATAAACTATATATATATAAACATTATTTATTTTAAAGACAAATCTTTTTAAAAATTATCAATATAAAGTTTTTAAAAAAACAACAACAAAAAAAACTTATAATCAATTTTTCTAAATCACTATATTAAATTAAATTATTATTATATCAAAACGCATATAAAATCAAATTTGAAATTATTATAAATAAAATTATTCGATACACATTATTTCAGCCCTATGTATAATTTTCTTCAATTTTTTGTATAATATATATTAACTTTTTAGCATTTTTTTAAAAAAATTTTATAAAAATATAATAAAAAGGCATTCATTTATTTTTTCTTAATTTTAGATTAAAAAAACTATATTAAATTAATTAATTGTAGTTACAGAAATATAAAGTATTTTATTATTTCATATTTAGAATAATAAACTAATATAATATTCGCACTATCTTTATTATTTATTAAACATTATTTAGTTTTTTTACTAGGACTATTTTCAACTTCATTCATAGTCTTATCAGAAATAATATTACTTTAATAAATTTAATTTATATTTTTATTGGATTTACATCTGTTATATTATTATTCGAATTTTGATTTTGAACCTAGCAATCTATTTTTTATTAATAATATTTTTTTAATTTTATATAAATCTATTTATTTTATTAATTTTTATTAATTTTTTTATATATGAATTAAAAATTTATTTTAATTAAATTTTTTATAAAAAAAATTGATAAAAGACGATTAATAATTAATTAGTTAAAAAATAAACAAATTGATAAAAAAATATAAGTTATATAAAATAAAAAAATTATAAAAACGCAATAAAAAAAAAATTAAAACATGCATAAAAGTATGACAAAAAGTCAGATTTCTGACCATTCAAAAGTTTCTTCAAATTCTTAAAAAATTCTTGCTAGTGTAACCTAAAAATCATCTACAAAGTAAATAAAAAATTCTTTAAATAAAATAATGTTAACATTTTTTACTAGATTATACAGATTCAAAGGAATTTTCGATTCTGAAGATATTCGTGTATCATGGAATGCATTTGGTATATATTAAAAATAATATAAAAGAGAAAAATATAAAAAATTATAAACAAAAAAAGGCCTATATTTAAGTCGTTAATTAAGAATGGGAAGAGCAGTTCACATATAAAATTTTGGTACATTTACTTTCTCTGCTCCAGATTATAAATTAGAAGTAAATATAATATTTATTAAAAAATTATATTTTATATAAAAAATAGGGATGTAGTAACCCATGGGAAAGAGATAAGTAATTAAGAAATCCTGTATTTTTAGTATCTAAAGATTTTATAAAAGGCGGTGACTTAAAACAAGGTATATGTACCCAAAACATAGTCCGTCCATATGGTGCAAACGGTGTAAATGGTAAAATACCTTTAAGTAAAATAAACTTTACGGAAGTTGGTATATACGCATCTATGGAAAAAGATTAAGCAAAAACTTGTATTGAAAGAATTATTCGTTAATTATAAGATTAAGCAAAAGCTGTAAAAAATAATATTTTTTTTTTATTTTATTTTCAAATTAGGAAAGCAGTGTGGATATGGAAATTCCTAATGTAGGTTTTTTTCGTGTTAGAAATAATATCGTGGCAGTTTAATTTAACGAGTTTTTATCAAAAGATGCTAAATAAATAAGCAATCAATATTAACAATTAACTCAGAAGAAATTAAAAGGAGAAATGTCTTTAACTCGTGAAAACCTCAAAAGATTTCTCGATTTGAAGAGTATGGAGGAAAATCTATAAAACCAACCTGATGATATACTCGAAATAGACGAAAAAACATAAAATTTTATTAAATAAAATTATAATATAGATCTCTAAAGTCTCAATAATCCTACCAGAAGATCAATTTTTGATGCAAATAGGACTAAATCAGCCAATCCTTAATCTATAATGAGCAAAACAGCTCCCTATAGGGATAATTGGATATCTCTTTCAGGAAAACAAAGTAAAGAATATATTCATAAAAATAGAAAAGAAATAGACTACTCATTAAAATAACTTACTATATGGATTAACAAAAACTAACTAACATGTGAAGATGTATTTTTTTTTTTATTTTTTTTTAATTATAATTTTTATAAAGGCTTTTATTGAATTTTGTAAGAAGTCTACAGGTAACCATCATATAGGAATAAAATTAACGAGTGAAGATATATATAATGGAATTTCTAAGCTAAATTTAGAAATTAATAGTGTCTAAATCACTGAACTTCATCGTCTTTTGGACCATAATAAGGACGGATTTGTTGATTTGGATGATTGGTTAAATGTTTTTAGAATAACGAGGAACCCTTAGTTATAATTAATAAGAGAAAATATAAGAAAAAGTGGTTTTTCGGAAGAAGATTTATTGGAAATACTAGGATTTACTAAAGATTAAAAAAGTATTAATAATGTCATGTTAAAAGGTGCTTTGAAAAAATTAGATAAAAATTTGGATGATGCAAAAGCTTTTTAGATAGTCTAAAGTATTATGAAAGAAAAGGAATTAATTGATTCTTATGATATAATAGAAGAACTTGGGGTTAATCAAAAGAATTTGATGTATGAAGAAGCAGGGTATATTGACAAAAAGTGGCTTTTAGAATTCGTTTAGAGACTAGGGGGGTTTTAGAACGTGTTTAGATAAAAGTTTTAAGATTTAGATCCATAAAATTAAGGAGTTTTGGATGTTTAGAGTTTCAAGAGTTGCTTTTAGAAAGATTCTATGGATGTAACAGGGAACGAAATACATAGGTTGGTGAAAAATTTACAAGTTTTATATGATATGGGAGGGTAAAGTGTACGATATGTAGATTTTATGTATCTTTTATTGAATGTAAAAGTGGAAGATGTAAAAAATGAGGAAAAGTTTATAAATGTAGAGGATTTTGTTAAGAAAATTAAAGATTTTTTAGATAAAAACGGATTATCTAATCCTTAAGTTATAATTGAAAAAGTAACAAAAAAAATTGGGCAAAATGAAATTAAAGTGGAAGATTTTGCAACTTTTTTACAAAAATATGCATTTTAATATAATAAGGAAAGTGAACTGATGTCATTTATTTAATTAATGGATATTGATAATGATGGGATTATTTCTTTTGAAGATTTAGATACTTTTTTGAGTAGATTGGAATATATTAACAATAATAATGTAAGAAAAGTTAAACAAAAAGAAATTTTTTAAGAAAATAAACTCTATCCTTAAAAGCCTTTAAGTGAAAAAGAAATGGAGGATATTTTGAGAGAATTAAGGTAGATTTTGTATCTTAAAAAAATGAGTTTTTATAATTTCTTTAAGCTTTTGGATGGAAACAAAGACGATTTTATTACCATTAATGATTTTTAGAATAATATTGGATTGGTAATAAAGCTCAACAAAGAAGATAGGGACGGGCTATTTGCTTTTATGGACAAGTAGAAAATTGGGATGATTGACTATAAGACTTTTATTGATACAATGAATTTAACTACTTTGGATTTATAATAATAATAGGAATAAAGGGAGTTTAATTTAAAAGCAATGAAAAAGGAAGATGATTGGGAGTGGACAAAAGATGTTTTAGCAAAAATAAAAAACTGGTTTAGAGAAGAAAGGTTAACTATTTAGGATGCTTTTAGAGTTTTTGATAAAGATTTTGACGGATATATTAGTAAGGAGGATTTGTAGAATTTTCTTAAGGACGTTTTGAAGATTTCGGAAAAGGAATTAGAAGGACAAAGGATAAATAGGCTTTTTAAACTTATGGATGAATTTAAAAGAGGGACAATTAAATTGGCAGACTTAAATAGACTACTTTGTGAAGATTTTAGTCCTGTTCAAAACTTTGTGGTTACTGGAGGAAAATTTATTGAAGGCAGAAGTTCTTTAGATTGGAAAATTAATGCTAAATAATAAATTGGCTTAGTAATATCAAGATAGTTTTTGACTTTAGATTAAAGCTTTGATAGTATTTCGGGGGGTGGATAAAGGATTATTTATAATTAATTTGAATAATGGATAGAAAAAAGTAGAGCATTATTAGGATTTAATTTAACCAATTAACTTATTTAATAAGTTTTCTCAGATTTGGATCCACATAAGAAAGGGTATTTAACTAAAAAAGATTGGATTTCAACTTTTAGTATTATTATCTATTTTATTATATATATCTATTTTTTTTTAGGTGGATTTAATTGGTAAAATTAAATGCTAAAAGAAGTTTAAGAAACTGTAAGTACTGATTTTAGAACTTTAGAAGAAGCTTTTAATTATTTTTCAAATAAATCGGTAATTTTTATTATTCATTTTATATATATTTAATTATTTTTTTAGAAATATATTACTTATTCTTTATTCGAAAATGCTATAAAATCTTTATTTCCTGATCGTTTTCATTAAAGTGATATAATGTCTTTATGGTTTAAATTAGTTAATAATAATACTAAGTTAATTGATTATTAGAATTTTCTTTATATTTTTGGTGATAAGAGAAGTGCTTTATTATAATAAGAACATCCTCGTCCATTAACAGCTCCTTTAATAATGCCTCCAACCAATAACAAATATGCTATTTATGATCCTACTACTGATGAAATAGTTACTAAGGTTAAGTAAATTTTGAGAACTTCAAATAAAAGTATAAATTAAGTTTTTAATGATTTTGATAAAGATAAAAGTGGGGAAATATCAAATTTGGAATTCAAAGCAGCATTTAGAAATTTAATAATTGGGTTAACTTCGAAAGAAATAGATGTTTTATTAAATTTCTGTGATGAATCAGGGGAAGGAATTGTTAATTGGAGAGAATTTATTAATAAATTTAAAAAAAAGTAATTAAAAAAATATATATAAATATATTATATCTTATAATATTAGTGAATCATAAGAAAAAATAATTGAAAGAAGCAAATAAAGATTAAAATTAATAAATGATGATATTCATTATTATATGTTATCACCTAAAGATGCTTTTCGTCACGTAATAACACATATATTTAATCGTTTTTTTAAAAACCTATATAAAAAAAAAATTAGTTCAATACAGATCATACAGGTTTTATGAAATTTGACGAATATGTAAATTTCATGCAAAAATTAAGTCAATATGGCAACTATCCATTACCTCCTTATGAAATATTAAGAGATATTTTTGACACTATAGATATCCGTAAAGATAATTTAATCGATATGAATGAATGGTTATAGACTTTTAACTAGTTTAAGCCGCCAGATGCTAGTATGTAGGGTCGTCCTTTATAATTGAATGCTAATGAAATAAAAGAAAGTAAATAAATGAAAAAGATGTAAACTCTTTAATAGAGAAGTTAGATGCCTTTTGATATTTAAAATTAAAGACTTGATTTATTGAAAATACATAACCCGAATAATATAAATAAGGTTATGGATTTTAAAGAGCCTTTGAAATAATTAGAAACATCAAAAGAGTATGACGATATTATGCATATTATTGGAAGAAATAGAAAATATTTAATTAATATTTTTTAGGAAATTTCTAAAAGATAGTAGATTACATATGAAGTTGCTAAAAATATTATTGCAGAGTTATTAAGGAGTATTGGGATTGTTATTGATAATTAATGTTATATTAAATTACTTAAGTTTGCGGAAAAAAATGGTATAATTGATTATTAATTTTTATTGGAAGTATATAAGGAAAGAATGTCAAGAATTGTTAAACAACCTTTAAAAGCATTTAATAAATAATCATGAAATATATTTTATGATTATAAAATATAAATATATGTATTTATATACGATTAATAATATTTTTTTTTTATTCAAAATAAATTTAAACTTTATTTTTTTTAAATATAAATAAAAATTAATTATTTTTTAATAATTATTATGAGAAAATTAAAATTTTTTAAAATTAAGAAAAATTACATATATTTTAATAATATTTTTTTTTTGTATTAACAAAAGAAATAATATATATATATATAAACAATCCTTATAAAAATAAACAAATCATTTTATCCCTTTTAAAAAAACACATAAAAATAATCATATATCTATATATTTATATATAATATCTTCTCTTTTTATTTTTATTTTTTAAAAGAGTAATCATTAATGCTCATCTAAATTTTATTCATCATCATCCGAAAAATCAATAGGAGAGTAATTATATTCAGCTTTATTATGCATAACTAATTCATTTTCAACAAAATAAAAGGAGTCTGATTTAGTTTTCCAAGGACTATTAATCATTTCCTATACTAACTTTTCATCAAGGATAGGTACATCATAGATAGACTCCCAATCATTAACAGTATCTGGAATACAAAAGGGGAACTTGAACTCATAAGATTAAATAATTTGATCATTAAAATAATGTCTTTCTATCATTAAGAAGTTCTTAATGGGTTTTTTCCCTATAGAAAATTATAATTAAGTGCCAATAGTTTTTATTTTAAAAAATTCGGGTCCAAAATGATATCTGACAGTTCTCCATTCTTCTTCTTCTTCTTTTGTTAGTTCTTAATTATTGAGAATTTCTTATTCTTCATCACTTGCTTGTTCTTTTTGTATTTAAAAAAAAATCTTGTTTGTATCCATGTCTCTTATTCTGAAACTCAAAAACTATATATTATAATGATTCGCTTTTAGAGGACATAAAAAAGTTTCAGTTGTTTTTGTATATGATCTTACTATTTCGGGGGTTATTTGTAAATAATTATCGCTCATTTTTTTATTTTTTTTGTGTAAATAAAATAAAAATAATTAATTAAATTAAATATAATTTTTTTTTTTCTTCTAAAAAAAATAAATAAAAGCAAAATAAATAAATATCAAAAATTTAATAAATTTTAATAATTAAATTAAACACTCATCAAAGCTGCTTTTTAACTGGAGAGATGATATAATTTTTTAAGCAAACTTTTATTTTTTTAATGATTTTTTTATTTTTCAAAATTCATGAATTTTTCACTTTAAACCAAAATCTAAACTGGATTTAATAAATTTAAGCTTTTTTAATAAGAAAAATTTCCAAAAACTTCATCTTCTTTATTTTAACTCAAACTAATATTTGAAATTTATGAAAAATCCAATAAATCATTTTTTTTTCTTATTCGAAAATTTTGAGTTCATAGTTTTGAGTGAGTTCATTTTTTTCTTTTTCTTTTTTTTTATTTCGGAATTTATTTTTTCAACCAAATCTTTTATTTGTTTTTCTAAAAATAATATTTTTTAATTTTTTTCTATTATTTTTTTTTAATTTTCATCATTTTCTTTTTTTTTTTCTAATAAAAAATTGCTCATTATGTTTTTTTTCTACAAAAAAATATTCTCTTATATTTTTTTTTGTAAAACGTTATATTTTATTAACCAAAGATTCTTATTTTTTGCCAAATTTTCATTTACTAATACATTTTATTGCATTATTTTTAAATAAAAAGCATTTTTGATTAAATTCTATTAATGTTTTACACCAATTTAATTTATTTTTTGATTTAAATCTTCAATTTCAATTATTAAATTTTCATTAAAAGCATTTGTTTTTTTAATTTTATTAAGTTTTTTATTCTATTCATCTATTTTTTCTTCTAATATTGTTTAAATTAATAATTTTTTTTCTCTTAGTTTTTGAAAATCTTAAACTTAATTTTAAAATTTTCCCATTTCTTTTTATAATTCTCTTTTTTTTGCTTCCTTTAATGCAATTTATACCTTAATTTCATCAAGTTCAAAATTAAGTTTTTTTTTTGTAGAAATTTCATTTTCTAAAAGTTATTCGTAATTTTATTTTAATTCCAAAAATTCTTTATTTTATTAATTTTCATTTATTTCGGGCTCGTCTTCATTTTTTTTAAAAAAAATAGTTATCTATTAATTTAATTGTTCCATTTTTTCCAAATTGGCTTATTATTTTTATAAATATTCAATTATTGTTTCCCCATTTTTATAGTTTTCTTTTTTTTATATTTCTATTTAAATTTCTTTCATATGTAATTTTTCATATAATTCTTGTTATTGTTATTCATTTTATTAAATTTATTATTTTTAAACTTTTAATATCTAGTTTTTTTATGTTTTATTTTTTTTAACTTTTTTTACTTGTATAAAATTTTGGTTTATATTTTAAAAAATTTATAACTTTTTTTCGCATGAATTCATTTTGCATTCTTCATTTATTTTTTGAAGGTTTTTTTCTGTTTTTACTTTTAAAATATTATATAAAATATTCATTTAATTATTTTTATCTTCATTCATTTATTTTGGTAATAAAAATAATAATTATATATATAAATTAAATATATATATTCTTTTTTTTTTTTTTTTTTTATAAAATTTATAAAAAAAAATAACAACAAAATTATATAAAATATTTTTTTTCATTTTTCATTTTTTATGTGAATGACTAACCCAAGTAAAACTAATTTTTTTGTAATGTTTTCCAACTAAACCTTCGAAAAATTTTTAAATATTTTCTAATTTTTATGCATATCCATCATTACTTTCGTTAAAATTAAACCATATTTCCATCCTTATTTTAGTAGCTTATTTATCTCTTGTTTTATCATTAAATCTAACTCCATTAGTCTATTAATTTTTCAGTTAAAAATTATATATAAATATTAATAAAAAAAAATATACTTCATTAATAAATGGGTAATCATCACTTAATACAGTTTAAACTACAACTTTATAAATAGAATCTATTTAGTCTTTACTTTAAATATCATCAAAAAATATTTAAAGATCACCTCCCTCGACATTTAATGGATCTTCCCAGGCTGGTACAATATTTTATTTAAATAAACTAATAGATTCTATTATTCTACTATATTTTTACAATTCTACTCTACATAAATAAAAAAATTATTTATAATATTAAAAATAAAGTAATTTATAAAAATATACCTAATAAATTTGCCTTCAAAATTAAAAAAATTAGAAATTTTATTCAATTTTGTACACCAAATTATTTATAATTATCTTAAATCATTAAATTCAACAATTTTATAATTATTATCTAAAAACTTATCTGAAATTACTTATGTATTTCCTTTTTCTTGCTTATATCCTTCCCAAAATGCCCAATAATTTTTGAATTTTAGATTTTGAAAATCTGTATTTATAAAATTTTATTTATTTTCTTATTAACAATTTTCGTTGTAATTTTCGTTTTGTATAAAATATTTTTCTTCCATTATTTATATTTTTAGATATTTTTTAGATATTTTTTTCTTCTATTAATTTATTTATTTATTATTTTATTCTTCTTTTTAATTTATTTATTAATTATTTTTAACAATAATTAATTTAATAATTAAAAACAAATTAAATTTAAATACAATTAAATTAAAAAAATGGAAAAAGCTTTTAAAAATTCGAAAAGTGAATATTTGTAATAAAAAATATATATATATAAATCAATAATAGAACTAATAAATATATAGAATAATAGTATAAATATTATAAGAAATAAATCAAAAAATTTATAAAAAAAACTAAAAAATTTAAAATAAAAATGAACTAAATATAAATTTAATAATAAATATCGCGTTTTATCTTTTCTTGATTGAGTTTTTAAAAAAAAATTAGAGGAAAATCAAAAAAATAAAATATTAAAAAGTATTATATATAATGGAATAATAAATTAAAATTTTAACTTAAACAAATAACTTAATTAAAATATTCATATAAAACTTATAAAAAAAAATACACTAATATTAATCATATTTACAATAAATATTATTAAGAAATATTATAAAAAATTATATAAAAAATAAAATAATTTTAATAAATAAATTTAAGCAAAACAATATAAATTTAAATTTAAATTAAAAAAGCATAAAAATTAACATTTAATCCATAAAATTCAATATATTTTATAAATAAAGAAT